CACACACACACACACACACACACACACACACACACCAAACTTTAAACTCTGCAAACGTTCAAATATTCGGTCCATGCAAATAACAGTTTTATTATTAATATATTTCGTTTTAAGGGGCGTATGCTTACAATAATAAGAATAGTAGTAGAAGATGTGAACAGATAATAATAATAATAACAACAAACATCCCCTTGAGAGAAGCGGAGGAAGAAACCGCCCCCCCTCCAAAAAAAGAGACAGAGAAGAAAGGGAAATTTATTTCCAGGGTTGGGATTTCTTCGCTTTTCGGACCCTTCACTCCAGCTTTTCGACGCTCGCGGCCGCAGAGACCCTCCGACTCTCTCGGCTTCTACTACGGCTCTGGAGTGGAAATGGTTTGATACCGGAAGAATCGAGCGAGAAGAAAGGGCGGCGGCAGACAGACAAACAGTGGAAGGCCGTCCGAAATGCGAAGCGGCAACTTTGGGCATCTACTGTAAGGATAGGCTCCGTGGTTGAGTAGGTCTTGCTCCTTAAGCAAAGGACCTACGCGAAGAGAGTGGGAGAGGCGAGATAAAACTGCCAGAGCCGAAAAGGGAAAGACCGGGCCCTCTCCCTGCTTGGAGCCTTCTTTTCCCCTTCAGCTGGTCTCCGGCAACAACCTAAAAGCTGCAAAGGCAGAAGTCTCCCTTGAAAAACGGCAAGGCCCTTTAATTGACACCACACACACGAATCTGATCTATTTTTTTCGTCAGGAAGAATCACAACCACAAAGGTAAGAGAAATCCTTCCTTCTTTCCTGCCTTCGCTCCCTCCCTCCCTCCTTCCCTCCCTCCCTGTGTCAAATCTCTGGCTGCTTCAAATTTGGCCATATTTTAATTAATACAACATATAATGAAACCCTACATGAATCTATTTCTTTTTGAAGAATTGCAACCATTGAGATGAGAAGTTCCTTTCTTTCCTCCTTTCCCTCATCCTGAATCTGTTTACCCAGCTCTCTGGCCCTCCAATTTTTGGCCCATTTCGGGCTAGCGGGTGCGCGCGCGCGCGCTGGTTTGCGGGTGCACGTGCGCGCTCCCCGCTCCCCAGCACCTAATCAAAACTATGGGCCCGCCAGCGCATTTATCATCCCATTACTGTAACAAATCCGGGCTCCCACTCCATGAAAGGTAAAATGAATTACCGACGTTAAGCCGTCAATAAAGTCATTTCTGTAAATGGTGTCTCCGAAGGACTGCAGCATTATTCAACCAGCTTTATCAGCAGCTGGGAAATTACGTGGAGAGGCGCGCAGCGTGTAATAGGGGCCCTGCTTACTTTGATTAAGCGCTGTGCCAGGGAATAGTGACAGTGCTTTTTGACCAGGTTTTATTCGCCGTCTTCTGATGAACGCCAAGCTGATCAGGCGGAATGAAGAGTAATTAAAACCTATAAATTATCTTTCGCAGTCCTTCTCAAGGCGTCGCTTTGCAGGCGAGATAAGGCGGCGGGGCCCCATTTACGGCTCTGAAAGGGACGGAGGCACACAAAGGCGACGCCGCTAAATGGGATATTGATAGTGTCCTAATTAGAATTTAATTAAGTACCCACGCTCGCTTTTGGGATAAAGATTTCATTTTTGTGTGTGTGTGTCCTCCTCCTCCCCCTTTTTTACGAACTAAAATATAAATAAAGCCCAATTTTGGAAAAGGGAGGGGAAACTCAACGAGAGGAATGTGAACGGCCAGATGTTCAACAGTCGCTTAATTTTGGTGGGTGCCCGCGTGATGTGTTGATTCCCTTGTGCCCCTTAGGCAGCAGATCCGCAATAGTTGTTTTCAAAGTTGTTGCAAAAACTGGGGCCTTCTGGGTCAAAGGCGCGGTTTAAAAGGTCCCCCGCTTTTAGCAGACCCGAATGCAATTCCTCAGAAACAAAAGGGTCTCCCGGCTTTTCATCGGCCGGAAATCCCTCCTTTGAGATTGTGGGGAAACCACACGCTCATCCCATGTGAAACACGGGCTCCCTTGAAACGACCCGATTCAAAACCCACCTTTCAAAGAAGGCATCGGAGAGAGAGACAGAGAGAGGAACGGCCGACCCACGTGATGCCGCGTGGGGGGCTTCGCGTCCCTCCGCTCCTGAGCGGACAGGATCGCGGGTTGTCGGCCCGCAAGTGTCAGAAATCTGAGGAGCACCTGTAACCGGCGTAGGCCCGGCCGTGGGCCCAAGAAACCCTGTCCAGTTGCCTTCCACTCAAAACGACCGCTGGGATAATTTCACGACACACGGCAGCCTTGGGAAGCTTAAGCTTGCATGGAAGAGAATGAGCCACGAGAGAAGAGGAGGTGACTCCCAAAAAACACGACGAAAGCCCCACAACCAACCCGGTCTACTTCTCCTAGCCTTAGGCAAATTGCAGAAGGCCTAGTGTGGACGGCTGCTACTAGTCGTGACTTTTGTGCATGTGTGAGTGTGTGAGAAAAAAAGACACCCTCTCGAGTGAACCAAGCAGCCGACCGCCATTTGAGTCTTGCACGACCGGTTGGGCTAAGAACCCTTTACATTTTTAACCCGACACAATTCTCTAGCTGCTGCTTCTCCAGCGCATGATCCACCCTTCGATGTGTGAAAACGCCGTGGGAGAAGAAGTGGCCCTTGTTGCACCACATCTCAGGAAGAAGGGAAGGGTTACCGGGGGTCTTCGTATTAGACTAGAAAGGTGTGTATGTGTATGTGTGTGTGTGTGTGGTGTGTGTCTAAAACCCCTATCAAACTGGCCCAAATACTAATTCCAAAGGCAGGAAAACCAGTTCTTCGCTTGGCTGGTGGGAGACACCTGCCAAAGAAAGGAAGTTAGCTCTGAGCAACGGCGATCAAAATCCACGGCAATTTTTCCTTTCAAATCAAAGCAGCCGGGAAGGGCAGGTTTGGGGGGGGGGGGCTAAGGCTATCTCTAAAATTCGTTTGGATAAAAACTCTTGGGTTTTTCAAATATGGGATACACCCCGCACGCAGACTCAAAGCACAAACAGAGGTGCAGTAGAAAGGGATCCTCGCCGCCCATCTCCCCCAGCCCTATTGCTACCCATTCTCAGCAAAATGTATTTTTTTTTTTGATTCAGAAAAACCATCTATAAAGGATCCACATCCTTTCCTTTCGGCATGTTACATTTTATGAATGGAAAACAATCACAAATTCCTTTCCCCGGGGTTTAGAACTGACTCTATCGAGAGAGAGACCAAAAGAAAAAGAAAGAGAAAGAAATATACCCAGAGAGAAAGAACTTAATGGAAGTCGGAAAAAGTTTTCGGTAGCGTTTATTTCCTATTTGGTTTCTGAGAGTTATGACTGGCTGAAAACAATCCTCGGCCGGAGCGACACAGGAACGAGAAGCGCGGTCTAGGAGAGGATGCGCCAAGCAACGCGTAAATCTCTCTCTCTCTTTGAATTAGCCAGCCCCTTGGATAATGTATCTGCAAAGTTCGAATGCAGCCCATTGGCCGACGTCAGGGGCGTCACAGAATTATGGAGCCGCTCATTGGCTCTTTCCACGTGCGGGCCATCCTCACGTGCTTCCGGTTGGAATGAAAAAAAGTGTGGTTGGGAGATTTTTTAGGGAGAGTTTGTTGCAAGATCGGAGCTGTCAGAGATTTTGCTTTTTTTTCTTCCCTTTTTCCTTTTTCTTTCTTTTATTTTTTCTTTCTTTTTTCTTTTTTAAAAAAAGGAACGCGGAGGAAAAGAGGGGAAGAAAGGTGGGAGAAAAAGATGCACGTGCGAGTGAGCGATTAAAGCATCCTGCCGAGAACCGATCCATGGGCAAAGCTGACTCTTGACACTTGGGGTACCCCAACGCTGCGCTGTTTGGAGGAAGATGGGTAGACTGTGAGGACTTCGGGGAGGAGGCGGAGTTTGAGGGGCTGGTTTTGTTTTGATCTCTCTCTCTCTCTCTCTTTTCTGAGAAGGGGGGGATGAAAGAGAGAGAGAGAGAGAGAGAGTCTGAGACTGGAAATATAAGATAACTGCAAAAAAAAAGCGAACCCGTCCAAATGCCCGAGTCTTTGGATATCTCTCTCTACTAGATTCCCGCTCTAAAACCAACAAGTGGATTTTATTGTGCGTTTCCCCCCTTCCACCCCCTTTCCTCTAACAACATTCTCAGACTCAGAATCCCTCCACCTCCTGGACTGGCGAGGTGGGGGAGTCCGGAAAGCGGTGGGGGGCAAAGGGAAGACGGCGATCTCCGGAGCTGGCGACCGACTATGGAAGAGCAGGCGGAGGCTAAAAGCCAGCGCGACTCGGCTCCGACTCCAGTCAGCGGGAGCAGCGGCAGCGGGAGCGATGGCGAGAGCGTCCCGGTGTCGCCCAGCGGCCACGCTCCCTTGTCTCCCGCCGCGCCTTGCCTCGTGCCTCTGCCCCTTCATCCGCACCACCATCACCACCACGGCCACCATCAACACCAGCACCAGCACCAGGCGCCTCCGCCCCCCCAGCAGCAGCAGCAGCAGCCGAGGCCGCCACCGCCACCGCCGCCGCCGCCGCCACAGCAGCATCGCACCACCAACTTTTTCATCGACAACATCCTGAGGCCGGACTTTGGCTGCAAGAAAGAGCACCTCTTGATCCTGGCCGGCGGCCCTGCGGCGTCCGGAGGAGGAGGAGGAGGGGGAGGAGGGGGAGGAAGCGGCGGCGGCGGCGGCGGCAGCGGCCGGGACAGAGACCTAGATCGCGCGGCCAGCTCAGGTAGAGAAAATGTCAGCCCACTGCTCGGCAGGCCCCTCCACCCGGCCTCCACTCTCCTTAGCGCCGACTCGCCCGAGAACCCCGACAGCTCCTCCACGGTCTCCAAAGCGAGCCCCGCCGCGGCAGCAGCGGTAGGGACGGCCAAGCCCCCCTCCACTACCTCCTCCTCCACCTCCTCCACCTCTTCCACCTCCTCCTCCTCTTCCTCCTCCTCCTCCTCCTGCTCGGAAGGGAGTGGAACTAACCCGGCGAAGTACGGGGAGCACGCCAACCCGGCCATCCTCCTCGTGGGCTCCGGGAATGGAGGAGTGGGGGCCTCCGGCGAGGGTCAACAGCCGCTGGTTTGGCCGGCCTGGGTTTACTGCACTAGGTATTCAGACAGACCGTCCTCGGGTAAGAATCCTCTCGAGAACCCAACCCCCCCTTCCCTTCGTTCCTCCCCCCCACCTTCTCTCTCTCTCCTCTCGGGTGGTTGTTGGTTCGGCTTAGCATGCCAGCTTCCTTTGCTCTCCACTCCCTCCCCCCTCCACCCCCGACTCGAACGATCAGCCTGTGACCTTCCTGTCCCTCTTCCGCCTCGGGATCCAAATCTGGGGCCGGGGGGCGGGGACTTGCTGCGGGACCCAGCAGGCCTGGGGTCCTTGTCCCAAGGTTCTCACGCTCAGGGGACTCCACTGACTTCCCTGGCTGGGTTAGGACCTGCGCTTTGCCTGAAAGTTGGGTTGTTTCCAAAGAATCGGAGCGAAGATCGGTTCTCCGACCAATTTTTTGGAAGTCCAGCCGCCGGGGAGGCGGGCAGAGAGTGGGGAGGGGGTAGAGGTGGTGGGTTCGTTGTTTATCTTCTAGATCATCTTGATCCCCCCCCCCAACCGCAGTTTTAAGATCCTTTATTCTCTAGAACGGGGAAGCCCTTCCCCTTAAGAACAGCTTCGGTCCCAAAAGCAAAATAACCCGAATGGTGAGGTCGCTGAGAATCCAGCGGCCTCAAGGCGACCCTTCGGCGTTTAGAATCGGGCTGGCAAAAGCTTACGTTTTGAGAGGCCATTCCCTGTACCCTGATTATTAGTATTATTATGGTGACTCTTTCAACAAGAAAAGACTTGAGCAAATAAATATCTTTCCTTCGTTTTATAGTTATGGATGCGTAAAGTACAAGGGGAGGTTTTCAATTTTGGAGATCCAAGTCCGGGCTGGTAGAATTCATGGGGCGCGTTGGGCGACGAATTCTTTCTTCCGCAGGGGGACGACGTTCGCCATTAGTTTTGGAGCTGGTGCAAAACGGTGGGAAGTTTGGAAGGTCGAGGCAGGCGGTAAGGGCCGAAAGAATAGAAGAGCAGAAGGTTGTGCGGGCGAGCGAAGGGGAATGGGGAGAGGAATGCTCGGTGCAAGGAAGGCCTCGCATGTCGGAGACCAGAATTCAGGCCCCAGGTCTTGGCTTCGGGGTCTTTTCTTCGTAGATGTAACCCCCACAATTAGTCCTTTAATGTGGCTTGGCTACCTTCTTCCGCTAGCTGCAGGAATGGCGCCCCATTTGTTCTCGGGGTTCCCCGAACTAAAAGGCTGGCGTGTGCAGAGAGAAAGAGAGAAAGAGAGTGATTTCCCCGATTCCCTTCCGAGAGCTAGGGAGAAAGAACCAAGCCGAGACCAGGGGGAAAAATCTTCTAGCGGCGGCTTCCCTCGGCTTTCCCCACCAAGCTCCTTTCCGCATGCGATTGATCAATCCGCCGCTATCAGCTTCAGCCATCGCGACCGCGCGGCTATTGACACCTCCCCGCGCCTTGGAAACGCAGAAAAGCCACTGTGATTGACTTAAACGAGTTGATTGAGTGATTGAGCTGTCAGGGCTATCGTCCGCGCCCAGGATTTTAGCCCTCCTTGCCCAGCCTCTCCCAGTCGCCTCTGCCCTGGTCAAGATCGGGCTCTGGGTTTTAAAAGACGTTGGCCCCGGAAGCAGAGGGCCTCCTTCGCTCAAGCGGTTAGGCCAACCTGTTGACAATACTTGACCTTGGAGAGGTTTGGCGGGCGAGGGTTAAATTTTTCAACATTTATCTTTTTTTCCCCCTGGTGAGGAGGCGAAGGCGGTGTGCTCTAAGCTCTGTTTAACTCCCCAAGCTGCCCTCTGTAGAGACCAGCCCGAATGAGGGACAGAAGCTTGTTTTCCAGGTCAACTGGGCAGGATCTGACCCTCGACTTTCACGAACTAGTCCAACACAATATGCCCAGCAGCTTTGGGCGTGTGGTTGAAGGCCGGGAGGGCAGTTCTCTGAAAAAAAATCTGAAATCTGCAGTTATTCTTGGAATTTATTTTTAATTTAAGGGAATTTAAGAGAAAAAGGAAAACATCTGGATTTTGCTTTCTGGAGATTATACCCCTACGTACATCAGCGTTACCTTTTTATCCAGCCAAGTTCGAAATAAGAGAGAGTTGTAACTTTGAGGCCTACAACATCTTGGAGAGTTTCCATCTGGGACTTTTTCTTCGAACCTTAAGAGAGAGAGAAATCTCACTTGAAGGAAATCGAAGAGCAATGAATTTCCCTTTTATGCTATAAAAAACCTTCGCCCCAACACACATACACATATGCGCACGCGAAGGAAATATTGTTTTATTTCCTTTTTTAAAAAAGGAACCTCCTTACAATATTTCTTTCGATTTGGGGGAATAATAGATAAAGAACGTACTTTAACGCGTTTAATTTTTTTTTTAAAAAAGTCTAAACAGTTTTTAGCTATTTTTTTCCTCCAGCGAAGCAAAATAAGGGTTTTGGAAATGATTTTATGCCCTCTTGCCTTTAGTTTAGATTAACAACTAAACCAACATATTTTAAATGACCGCCTTTTCCTGAATAAAAATTTCAAGTTCCCTACATAACTATGGGGAGACGGTTAGACTAGAATAAGGACAGAAATATAGACCAGTTTGCTCTGCTATCGGGGATCCACATAGATGGGTTTGGATTCTATTTTCATTCTTTTATAGGCAGTAGGACTGCCTGACTCCAGGTCTCCGTTTGTTGAAAAGAATCTAACTTTCAGGAAAAGAGTAACTTCCAAGTGGAATTTTAAAATAGAAAAAAAATCAGATTATTTGCCAAATCTGCCGCAAATAAAAACGACCCCGTTCCTTCCACAATTTTTCCAGCCTTTTATTTTTGTAGGGAAAATATACCCGCAGCGCGGAGTGGGTGGGTGCGCGCGCCCGTGTGTATATGTACGTTCCCCCAGTTTGGTGCGGTTTCTATGTATTCCTATGTAGATAGAATTTGGGGTGGGTGGGGGGTATTGAGGAGAAACTCCCAGCAGAACTCAGAGAAATGCTTAGAATGAGACAGTGGGTGATGGGGATGAACTGAAGTAGAACTGGGGTTCTCCATCAGGATTGCTTTTGTCTCCATCTTCTCTGTTGGAAATTCAATTCCTAACTTTTAAAAGGGCGGCAACATTTTCTTGCCTGCTTTGATGGACTTCCTGTGGGAAGATAATGTTTGTTCTCCCCCTCTGGATCAAACAGATTCCTAACCCCAAAAGAGGTGGCTTCCCTTTTCAGGCAGGCACTTTAGGGGCAACGGTTGTTATCGATCCCTACTTGGGTAGCTTTTCTCTTCATTTCTTTTCTTCTTCTTCTCCTACGACAAAAAAAAAATTGCTTTATCCAAGTTCTTGCGGAATTAAATTTGGGACTTCCTCAAGCATTCATTTCAAGCCGCCTTGTAATATTCAAACCTATCATCATCATCATCATCATCATCATCACCAACATCATCATCATTGTTATTATTATTGTTGTTGTTATTATTCTTATTATTCTTATCATTATTAGCCTCTGCCGAAAAGAGGGATGACGTCGAAGCTCCCCCCCCCCGTTTCATTTTAACCCTTGAAATTCTGGAAGGGCTGCTTATCTGATCAGAGGTCTGAGGAGGTGGGGGGTGTTGAGGAGGTGGGGGGGTGGGGGGGAGACACCTAGAATCCCTTCCGAATGGGAGCCGTACCAGAGAAAAAACGCCCTCTGCAACGCAACCTCTTTTCCAAGACTGTTTTTCGCTCTCTTCCCTCTGTTGCGAATGATTTTAACGGTGCAACGAATCAATCGGTGTGGTCGCCCCCTTTCTCTCCCCCCTCTTTTCTAATCAGTTTCATACCGTGGCTTTTAAAGAGGAGACTTGGAGGTGGTGAAGGGAAAAGAAAGCCCGACCGTCCGATGCAAATGCGGCCTACACGCGCCTTTTCCAAGCAATTTCAGGGAAATGCAAGGTTGTTCCAGGTCTCCATCCGCGCATCAGGTCTCTGGCTCTCGTCAGCCCCCGAAAGAGCGACGCGAAGCGATCAGACCACGGGCGTCTTAGAGACCCCTGAATTAGGCCAGCCGGGGAAAAAGTCTGGCATGGGCGCTGCATTTCCCCGGCCAAAATATCCTCCGGTTTAAGCCTTTTCTTTGTCCTTTCTTTCTCTGCTGGCCTTTTCCTTGCTCGCTCTTTCTCTTTAGCGGCTTTGGCGGCGTATGTGTTGTTGAGGTACCTTGATTATTTTAGGGGGAGAAAAGAGCAGAGCGCGAAGGCGGTGGAGAACGGCGGCGGGGAAGGTGGGGGGAGCCGCAGCTTTCCAAGATCAGCAGTGGGAGGGTGAGAGGGAGAATTGAAAGGGGAAACGGTCGGCCCTCGCCCCCCTCCCCGCGGCCCTGTTAAGGGGTTGCCGGCTGTCCCCTTTACGAACGGATGCGGCGCTTCTTTCCCATCAGAGCCCCCGATCCTCCTGGATCCCAAATCCCTCTGGCCTAAACCCGCCCTCGGGTGCGCTCGGACGCCTTTGGTGTTTTTTTCTGGCCTGTTTCTGACCCAACTCCGTTGTGTCCTTCCCGGCTCTCCTGCCCCATCCTCGGCTTCCCTTTCGTGTGCGTGCCTGTCTTTTCCCCCTTCCCTCCTTCCCTCCGACCTCCTCCTCCTCCTCCTCCCCCACTGTAGGTCCCCGAACGAGGAAGCTGAAGAAGAAGAAGAACGAGAAGGAGGACAAGCGGCCGCGCACGGCCTTCACCGCCGAGCAGCTGCAGAGACTCAAGGCGGAGTTCCAGGCCAACCGCTACATCACCGAGCAGCGGCGGCAGACGTTGGCTCAGGAGCTGAGCCTCAACGAGTCCCAGATCAAAATCTGGTTTCAGAACAAGCGGGCCAAGATCAAGAAAGCCACCGGCATCAAGAACGGCCTGGCCCTTCACCTCATGGCCCAAGGACTGTACAATCATTCCACCACCANGCGCCTCGTGCAACACGCTGAACTCTAAACCCGGATTAACAAATCGTAATTATAAATCACCTCCTCACCAAAACGAATCCTATGGTGGAGGGCTGGTTTCGCATAGCGTGCTAAGGCAGTCAGGGGTTTCCCACGGCCGCTTG